TCCTGAGTAGCTAGGACTATAGGCACCTGCCACCACGCCCACATAACCTTTTTTTTTTTTGTATTTTGTAGAGATGGGGTTTCGCCATGTTGCCCAGGCTGGTCTTGAACTCCTGGGCTCAAGCGATCTGCCTGCCTTGGCCTCCCAAACTATTAGGATTACAGGTGTGAGCCACTGCGCCTGGCCTCTATAGCTTTTCTTTTAAAGGGCAAATGATGCAACATTTGTCAAGGAGTTTCAACAGCTATCTAAAATTCTGAACCTCAGATATTTATTTTCTGTAGAGATGGGGTTTCCCCATATTGTCCAGGCTGGTCTTGAACTCCTAGGCTCAAGGGAGGAAAATGGCCCCACGTGAACATGACCCTTGAGCCTGGATATGAAAGTCAGTTTGGTGTCCAATTACCTGCTGGACAGGTAACTACCTGCTGGAGTTGGGTTCAGACTTGAGCTTGGATAGGCTAGGCTCCAGAACCCAAGCTCTTTCTCCTTTAGCAGTTGAGAACACAAAATTTACATCTTACTTGTTGAACAACCCTGGGCAAGGAACTTGACCTTGGCATGCCCTAATTTCCCGATTTGTAAAATGGAGCTGGTAATTGTGCTTGACTTAAAAAGGTTACTGAGAAGTTTAATCAAGTCAACGATCCAAGTCACTTGGGGCAGTACTGGCACATTGTAAATGTCTAGTAAGTATCAGCTGTTCTTATTCTTTTCGTTCTTATCATCCCTTGCTGTTTTCCTTATGACAAAGACACTCTCCAAATGTGAAGTCTGTGGGAGAGAGTATTCAGAATGGCTGAAATGTACTTAGTATGTGAAATATGACACCTTTTAACTACATTTCATGAAACATTCAGATGTTGACTTGTTTATAATTAGAGTGGCCATGTTAATTTAAAAAAACATTATTCCCTTGACCTGAGCCCACAACAGACATCCCTAATGAATCACGTTGCCCGTTTTAGTTAAACACGGACACAGTTAGGAATCCTTCCTAACATGGAAGAAGAATGTGTTGATGCAGGTGAGGAACTGCCTTTGCATCCCAGGCTGGAGAGAGGCCAGCACAGAACTATAGAGAGAGGGGTTGCCGGTCACTTACCTTGGACAATTGGCATTGCTAAGTCAATGGCTTCTTCCCACTCAGCCCCAAACTAAGCTATCCTTTGGCAAATTCACACCGTTATTCAATCAAAAGCTTTTCGGAAGAAAAGTCCCCCTACTCGGACACTTCCTGGACACAATCCAGAGCCCACTGATTCCTGATGAGGCTCCTTTACCTACAGGAGGCAGGTGAGAAACTGTGAAAACGTCCTAACGATTCTAAGTGTCGGGGAATCTATCATCTGGATTCTAATCTCTTCTAATGTCTGGCTTTCTTTTATGACTTCCAACAGGGGAATATACTTGAGAAGCTGGGAATTTTGCTCCATGCCCAAATTTGTCCGTTTTTTACATGATAGCATGAGAATTAAAAAGGACCCTGAACTTATGGTGACTAACCTGCATTTTGGGATGATACCTGTGAGGCTGTTCCAGCCCAAGGCAGCATCCTCCAGACTCTGGCGAGGCATCATCTTCTACCAAGGAGGGGGCTCAGTATTTGGGAGCCTGGGTAAGGGGCTTCCCTGTGGCTTTGTAGAGGTCAGGCCTCATATGCATGCGTAGCCGAGCTCATGCCTCCCCCCAAAACCCTTCTGCAGTAGCTCAGAGGAATCAGTTGTTGGAATTTTTATAAGGTTAATAGCCCAGACTAAGGGCTTTGGGCTCAGGTTAGTAGATGGTGTGGCAGCCTACGTGGGAAAACTTTTCCTTTCTATAATTTGATAGTCTCGGTCAAGATGGGGATAGCAGTGTCATGGTGGGGCTGTCACAGAGGCTGTTGACACCTCTCTCCCCTTTCTGCTCACAGTCATTGGCCTGCCCTGTCTCGTGTTAGTGATCCCAAACCCATGTATTTCCCTCTAGCTCTGCAGTGTCGCCATGACCCAGGACCCCATCCTTGCTTGCCTGTCCCCTTGCACCAAGCCTCCCAGCCACTGGTCTCCCTGGTTCACCTCTCGCTCCTCACATCTGGTCCCCACCCAGAAGGATTTTTTTTTTTTTGAGATGAAGTCTCGATCTGTCACCCAGGCTGGTGGGAGTAGTGCAATGGCGTAATCGTGGCTCACCGAAACCTCTGCCTCCCAGGTTCAAGCGATTCTCCTGCCTCAGCCTCCCCAGTAGCTGGGACTACGGGCCCATGCCCAGCTAATTTTTGTATTTTTAATAGAGATGGGGTTTCACCATGTTGGCCAGGATGGTCTCGATCTGCTGACCTCAGGTGATCGAGGCCTCCCAAAGTGCTGGGATTACAGGCATGAGCCACTGTGCCTGGCCTTAGAGGGATCTTTTAAAAATACAAGGCAGAGCTTGTCAGTCCTGCACTTACATCTTTCCTGTGCCCTTCCATGAAACCCAAACTCCTCCCACAGCCTCGCCCGGGTCACCTGTGTGTCCCTCACCGGTTCACTCAGCTGCAGTCCCGCTATGCATCGATCTGCTGCAGACACTTCAGCTCCTTCCCACCACCGTTCTCCACCTGCTGTTTCCTCGGCCTCAAAGGACATTCTTCCCACCCCTGGCACTGCATGGCTGACCACCCCTGGCTCTTTCAGTTGTAACTCAACTATCCTTCCCCACAGTGGCCTTGATACCGGAGGGCTGGGGGAGGTCCCCAAAGGCCAGTGGGACCTCAACTGCAACTGGTGTCCCTGCTCTTGACACCATCATGAGAATGAATTCAAGGACGAGTCAGAAAATAGTGAAAATACAGAGATTTGTTGCAAAGGGAAAAGCACACACTGAAGAAAAGAGAGTGGGGCGGACTCAAGAGAGACACTCAAGGGGGTTTAGGGCTACTACCTTTATGTGTTTCTTTAACCAAGAGGTGGGGCCGGGCACGGTGGCTCACGCCTGTAATCCTAGCACTTTGGGAGGCCGAGGTGGGTGGATCACCTGAGGTCAGGAGTTCAAGACCAGCCTGGCCATCATGGTGAAACCCCATCTTTATAAAAAAAAAAAAAAGAAGAGGTGGAATATTCATGAAACTTCTTGGAAAAAGGTCAAGTTTTCTCGAACTGCGATGCCACCCATTTGTACACCAAATATGGGTGTCCCCATAACTGTCCTGGTGCTGGTGGATGTGTGCATAATATGCTAATGAACACATAAGGAGGTCCTAGGAGAAACCCAGGTCCAATCTAGTGCCATGTTGGGTCCAGTCAGTCTGAGCCAACTTGGTCCACACCCTGGCTTTTCAGGGTCTTATCAGCTTCTGCAACTATTTCATTTCTTTTCTTTTTTTGAGACTGAGTCTTGCTCTGTCACCCAGGCTGGAGCGCAGTGGCACAATCTTGGCTCACTGCCACCTCTGCCTCCCGGGTTCAAGCAATTCTCCTTCCTCAATCTCCCGAGTAGCTGGGATTACAGGCGCTCGCCACCATGCCCAGCTAATTTTTGTATTTTTAGTAGAGATGGCATTTCACCATATTGGCCAGGCTAGTCTTGAACTCCTGACCTCATGATCCACCCACCTTGGCCTCCCAAAGTGCTGGGATTACAGACATGACCCACCGCGCCCGGTCTTCTGCAGCTATTTCAATAGTTTCCTTTTGCTAGTTGTGTGAAACTGCTGCCTGGAATTTTCTGTTCTTCTGCTACCACCCTGTGTAATTCCTATCTCATTTTTTTCCCTTAGAGATTTCTGTCTCTTATACTTAGGGGTTGACGAGGGAGGAGGTCAGTCTTCAGTATCTATTTCCTGCTGATTGGGGTGTCGGCCCCGCCTAGCATGGGCGTGGCAATCTCTGGTTGCCTAGTGTACGGGTCTCAAGGGTGAGTCATCAGGAGGATCTGAATCCGAGCCAGGGATTGGTTGGAATCCTGCAGGACAATCCTTTTGACATGGAACTGTTGCATTCTATTAGGTTGGTGCAAAAGTAATTGCTGTTCTTGCCATAAAAGGCGACAACCATTTGCACCAACCTAACAGAGGACATAAACTTTAGAAGAAGATTAAACAAGCAAGGACCCAGGATTGGAAGTAATAAGACAGCTATTAAAGATCCCAGGAAAGCTAGTGTGACTCATGTCACACTTGGTCGGTATCCCTGGATGGAATCCCAGGTGGTTTCAGCAGTGAGGTAATTGAAATGATACAGCTGGCCCGGTGCAGTGGCTCATGCCTGTAATCCCAGCACTTTGGGAGGCCGAGGTGGGTGGATCACCGGAGTCAGGAGTTAGAGACCAGCCTGATCAACATGGAGAAACCCCATCGCTACTAAAAATATAAAAAAATTAGCCGAGCGTAGCAGCTCATGCCTGTAAGCCCAGCTACTCGGGAAGCTGAGGCAGGAGAATCGCTTGAACCCAGGAGGTGGAGGTTGTGGTGAGCTGAGATCACGCCACTGCACTCCAGCCTGGGCAACAAGAGCGAGATTCCATCTAAAAAAAAAAAAGATTGCTTCTGATAAAAAGCCACGAAGGCCTGTATATATGGTATTTCAGTCCATTTCTCCTGGCATTTATGAAAAAATCCTAATTGCAAGATAGTATTACAATTTAGGGTTCATTCTCTGGCTATTGCACCCTATTTTCCAACTTACATTGGGGCCAAATGGTGTTATAGAAAGAATGGAGTTTCTTCTGAGCCCATCAAGTTTAAAATTATTCATTTTTAAGAATGTGCCCCAAAGGAGAGTTGGCAGAGATAGTTATCCATGACCTTGACTCGTCCTTGGCATGGCTTGAGAGAGAAGGGAAAAATAACGGGTTGGTTCCCTCATAGATGGACTGGTCCTGGCATTTTATGAAATGCCCCTTGTGATAGGCCAGCTCCATGGCTGTGCCGGGGAGACGGGCATCCCAGTTCCCTTGGCTGGTGCCTCAGCGTCCAGGCATCCCTGGAGTCTCAGTGTTGCCCGGGCATCCATGGCCCCTGGGGCTTTGGAAATGGGAAGGTCAAGTAGGGCAAGCTTGCCGATATCCATCTGAACATTTATCACAGGTAAGACTTGGGAGTAGAGATGATTCAGCATGGCCCAAAACAGGGACCTTGAAGGGACTCCTTGGCATTTTAGAGAACAGTATCTAAGGGGCCTATCCTGCTGTGTCTAAAGAGTTCACTAAGCTTTCGTGCGAAGTAGGTGGAAGAATCATGAGAAGAGAAAATCACAACAGTAGGGTTTAAAGAAAGACAAGGAGAAAACGGTTCCCAACCAGGGTCAGTGTCTTGGCACAGCCGGTCCCTTGGGAAAACAGAAGCCCCTTCCCAGGAAAAAGTCATAGTGCTCCTTGGAAACCATCCAGCCACTGTCTGCTCTGGGTTTTTACCCTACCACCCTCATGAGGCTCATGTCTGGGAGGACCATGTACCTCAAAGCTACTCAGCGTAAGGCTGGGCATGGTAGCTTATGCCTGGAATCCCAGCACTTTGGGAGGTTGAGGCAGGTGGACTGCTTGAGCTGAGAGTTCAAGACCAGCCCTGGCAACATGGTGAAACCCCTTCTCTACAAAAAGTACAAAAGTCCGCTGGGCATGGGGTGGTGCATGCCTGTAGTCCCAGCTACTCAGGAAGACTGTTTGAGCCCGGGAGGTGTGGATTACAGTGAGCTGAGATTACACCACTGCACTCCGGCCTGGGTAACAGAGAAAGTCTGTCTCCAGAAAAAAGCTACTCTGTGTAGGTGGAAAACTTTCCATCTCCGCTTGTCACCCATCAGGATGAATTGGGTTTTCCAGCTTGAGGGAGTAGTGGGGAGGCAGACTGTAGTCAGCACCCAGAAACAAGGAAGGAAGTAGCAGTAATTCCAGAGAACCAGAGGACTCCAGCCAGGGTTGGAGTGGGACTTACCGATTGCCAGTGGTTCTAAAATGGGGGTGATGGTGCTCCTGACTGGGTCACCGCAAAGATGATACAGGTGGGCTGGGGGGGTCCCCAAACACCGGTGGGACGTCGACCCTCGCTATTGTTCAGGTTCTTGACACCATCATGAGAATGAATTCAAGGACGAGTCAGAATATAGTGAAAGTATGAAGATTTTTTGGGAAAAGCATATAGTCAAGAGTGCAGGCGGACTCAAGAAAGACACGTGCAGGGGGGTTTGGGGCTGCTACCTTTAAAGGTTTCTTTAACCAAGCAGTGGAAAATTCATGACAATTCCTGGAAAAAGGTGGCATTTTCTCGGAACTGTGGTGGTACCCATTTGTACACCAAATATGGGTGTTTCAGAACTGTCATGGTCCTGGTGGCTGTGTGTTTAGTGTCTTGGTGAGCATAGAAGGAGGTCCTAGGAGAGACTCGGGTCCAATCCAGCGCCATGATGGGTCTAGTCCGTCTTAGCCAGCTTGGTCCACACCCTGGCTGTTCAAGGGTTTATCAGTCTCTAGCTTCTGCAGCTATTTCAAGTTTCCTTTTGCTCATTGTGTGAAACAGCTGCCTGGAATTGCTTTTCTTTTCTTCTTTTCTTTTCCTATTCTCTTTTTTCTGTCGTCTTACTCCGTCACCCAGGCTGGAGTGCAGTGGTACAATCTTGGCTCACTTCAACTCCACCTCCTGGGTTGAAGCGATGCTTGTGCCTCGGCTTTCTGAGTACCTGGGATTACAGGCGCATGCTACCACGCTGGGCTAATAATTTTTGTATTTTTAGTAGAGATGGGGTTTCGCTGTGTTGGCTAGGCTGGTCTTGAACTCCTGACCTCAGGTGATCCGCCCGCGTTGGCCTCCCAAAGTGCTGGGATTACAGGTGTGAGCCACCGCAGCCAGCCTAGAATTTTCTATTCTCCTCCAAGCACCTTGTGTTATTCCTGTCTCAGCTTCCCTGGACATCGTATCTAAGAACTCTCCCTGCTGACCCTGCTGCCCTGCCCTGCACCGCTGTCTCCACCCCCCTGCTTCATCCTTGTTAATTTTTTTCTGGCACTTGTTCTTTCACGGCTTTCCTTATTTAGTACTTGACTCCCCCACTAAAAATGAAGACTGCAGGAAGTTTTGTTTGTTGCTAGATTCCCCAGTGCCTGTTGTTTTCATTTTTTGAATTGAATGAATGAATGCACGAATAAACAGATGGATGGATGGGGGAATAAGTGGATGAAAGGATGGGCTTGCGAATGAACAAATGGATATGGATTGTATGCACGGATGCATGGACACACGGGAGAAAAATTTGCCCATAGGAAAAGGCGGCAGCTACCGGTACGTAACTTCCCCGAGATTAGGATGTGCTGCCCCCTGGTGGTGGAAGTGACGATGGCCATTCTCTAGCTGGATCCGTTGTCATGGGAACAGAACCCAGTTCCTGGCCTCATGGACCTGACAGTCCCCTGAGGGAGCTGGACACTGAAGCTACCGCAGATCCTGATAACACAGGTGGCATGGAGAATGGCTCACAGCATCATTCCGATTTAGCTTTTCTCATCGGAGAAGTCAGATTTGAGCTCAGGCCCAATGGATGAGGAGAATCTTGCTCCGAGGAAGCCGGAGAAGAGCCTTCTAAGTGAGGGCTGGGGCTAGAGGGAGGCACTTGCTTCAGGCTCCAAATTGAAAAGATGCCAAAACATTCATTCATCAAGATAAGTGATATTTTAATGCAATGTTTGAAAAAACTAAATATTAATGCCAAACAATTATGATGAACAAAATGACAAAATGTTTATACAGGCAAGGCCGAACAGGGCAGAGCAAGTGGGTAAGCAAAAAGCAGAAGCCTGTTTTATATATATATATATATATATAT